CAGGTTACTGGACTAGATGGACCTTTGGTCTGACCCAGTCTGGCCGCACTTATGTTCTTAGCTTGGGTGCCGTAGAGAGCAGAGTGCGGTGTTAGCAACGGGGCCACTTTCCCCTGATCTTAGAGCCGCAGCTGGTCTGTTCTAACTGGGACCGGACTGAGGAGCTCATCGTCCTATTTATCTGAACACTGAAATACAGAAAACAGGCTCGGTCCAAAGCTGAATTAGAAACTAGATGGTTTCATTTTGCCCTGTCCATAGCGCACTCCCCTGCAGTCTGCTGGATTCTTTGTCACAGCCGAGCATTAGCAGGAGAGACCAACATCCGTGATATTCTGTTAAACTCAGAACCTCCCTGGATAGCAGAGACCCCTTTTCCCCAGGGGTCAGCCCCCCACAGCTCCCAGTCTGGCACCTAAGTAAGGGGCCAGGTTTTCAAAGGAGCTCAGCTGATTGGCGCTGCTGGGGCTGAGTTCTTTGTGTTCAGTGAAGTGCCCGAGCGGGATCGGCTCTCTGGAAAATCAGTCTCAATTGTGCGTGCTGGGCACTGCTGGAAATCCGGCCCATTATCCTCCGGTAGGGCAGAGCTAGAGACTGGATCCGCAAATACTGCCAATGTTCTCCGACATTCAAGGGGATGCCACCTCCTGGGACAGGGAGTTCAAACCTGGCCGCTCCATCTGCAAACAGAGAGAAAAGGGGGTGACACACATCATTAGAATCCTGGGGAGATTTCCAGGGGAAGAGCTGGAAAAGATTGGGGCTGGCTAGAGAGGAGTTAACTAAAAGGGGGGACGGCTCAGATATGGAAAGTGATGAATGGGACAGAGGAGGGACCTCCCCCTCCCCCCTCTCAAAACCCTGGGGAAAGGCAAGGGAGCTCGTTTAAAACGGATCAGAGGAAACGCTGCTCTGTTTGCACAGCTCAGAATTCTCTTGGAACTCACGGCCACTAGAGTCCAGCGAGACGGAAGCTTAGCAGCTTCGGACAAGGACTGGACGTTTCTGTCACTCGTGGGACGTCCCCAGTGATCTTAGCGAGGTTAGAAATGTATAAAAGGTTTGACTGTCAACCTGGAACAGAGAGAGGCTAGGTAGCCAACGCCACCTTCTCACACCCGCCAACACACAGGCAGTCCCCTGCTCCCTCCCTGCGGCAGGCCATGCCAGGCCAGCATGTTCAGGGGCACTCTGGGAGTCGTGGGAAGAGAAATGCTCCTTCCCTGGGGAAATAACCACATTACCGGCCACAAATGGGGCTGGTTTGAGTTGCCCAGCGGTCACTGTCATCCTGGTTCCTCTCCAGCCTGCTCCGCTCTCTCCCGGCGCCAGGTGATGCAAACCAGAACGCCGGGGGCACTGCCGGGTCTGGTGCAGCGGAGACACGTGAGAGTAACAGGCAGCAGCCCGGAGCCTCAGCGGAACAGAGAGTGTCACCGAGTGACTGAGTGATTTTTATTTTTTGTCTTTAATTTAATCCTCTCCAGCTCTGGAGTTTTTCCCTGAGTCTTGGCCAGCCCGCTGCAGTAGGCTCCACTCTGGGACGCGCGCTCTCAGCCTTTGATTCCTGGCTGCCCTCCTCCAAAAGCCAACGAGGACAAACGTTAGAAGGTCCCAGTTAGATTTGCCACTGGGGGAAGCCTAAAGGCAGAGGTGGGGGCCACTGGGTGAGTACCTGGACAGCGATGCGCAGTGGGGGAGCTTGGGAAGGGCGAACGCTCTCTCCCATGTGCTTTCGGTTGCATTTCCTACCTTCCCCCCACCGCCCCAGCAGACCCCACTGCGCTGCGTGCGAAGGGCTAGTCGAGCCAGGCTCAGCCCCAGGCATAAGAGAGCAGGAGAGGAAATCCCAGGAGAGAGAGAGGCGCTAAGCCATGTTGAGTCTGGGGCTGGCGGGCTCGGCCTCTGCATATGAGAGCACAGGTCCCTTCCTCCCGGAGTTCTGTTCCTGGCACGTCTTGGCGGACGGGTTAGTGTAGATCGGCACCGGGTGGAACTGATTGACAGACCCGATGAAGGAGTTTCACGTACTTCCATCTCGCGGTAACAGGCCTGGAGCGGATCTGTTTGCAAACAACGCCAGGGCGCAGCTGTCCCTCTCAGCCACTGACAAACCTGTAACTCCCGCCTGCGCTGGACGAGTCTTCAGCCATTTCCAGCAGGTTGATTACTTTCCGCCGACTTTCCAATTGGCCGGCACCAGGCTAGTCTGCCTCATTTCCTGGGCTAACCCCAGTGGAAACCGATAATGTGAACTGGCGCCGTCTACCCCAGAGGTGGCTGCATTAGGAAATCACATTGCTGGAGCACTTGGGATGATTGCCTTTGTCCAAGCCCATTTCAGCTGCGTAAAGATACCAAAAGCTCTGGTGTAATTGTTTTAGGAACAGCGCCAGCGCAGCGGGCTTGCTGCTGCAGTGTGCCATTGTTAGCCCTTCTCCCGTGCTCCCCTGCCGTAGGGTGAGGGGTTTTACAGCGGGCCCCTGCGGTTCTGTGTGTGACGATGCCTCTAAACTCCACGGAAAGCGGGTCTGAGTCACACATGGAAAAGTAGACATTTGCAGCAGGAGACTTTATTTACCCTCCATTGGAAAAGCTGGGCCGCGCTTAGGCAGCTACGGTCACAGTCACCTCTGCCGCTGGCCCACACATCCCGCCTGCTGGTACTGCGGCCTCTGCGTTATTGACTGTGTGGCAGGGCAAACATCGGGGTCACCTGTCTGCCGAGAGCTAGATACACTTGTTCTGCTGGCTCCACACCGGGCTCTGGTAACCTTGGACATGGTCACACTGGGCCGGGGGACGGGCTCCCTCCCTGTGCTCGCAAGCCGAGCAGGCCGGGAACGTGCAGCGCCCGAGGCTCTTCGGGCTTTGGCGCCAGGCCCACTATTCAGCAGGGCGCCGGGGGAATCAGGGAACCGCTGCTGGAGGTGCGGGGACGGTGAGCTGAGTGTCGCTTTAGCATGCACCGCGGTGTCACAGTGCTGCAAATCACCAACCCCGCGCTGAGGTCTCTGCTCAGCCCCTCCAGCCGATTCCCACCTCCATCAGGAGTGGGGCACTCTGCTGACCACGGGAAAGCTCTCATGCCTGGAGAGGGAGGACAGCGTTGAGGGCTCTGGGAGCAGCAGGAGCGAGGGAGTCACAGGGAGCCCAGTAGTGCAGGAGACGTCTCGGGCAGGAAGCCAATTCCAACTCTGCGGCTTCTGCCAGTGGGCTTTGCTGGCTCTTACCCAAAATAAATTTCCAGCAATTTTCTGCCCCTCTTTCATTGCTGGCTTCCTCCTTGCCAGCCTTCCGGTCTCTCTTTCCCTTCCCGGTGCAGCCTGGCAGACGCATGGTAGAGGACATTGGCACTAGCTGCAGGAGACATTCCCCAAAGTGTCCAGCCTGGGAGGAGGAGAGTATTGATCATGGCCTGAGTGGGTGGAACAAATCCGCTCCGTCTCTCCCCCCAGTCTATGCTCTAGTGCAAAGCACAGGCTGCAAAGGGGAAGGGGGGTATTTGGCATCTCTCTAAGGCCTTTGGAGGGAGGATAGCGCTGAAAGGATCATAAATTATCACCATTTTACAGAGGGGAAACCGAGGCACGGAGCAGTTAAGTGACTTTTCTCAAGGCCATACACTGAATCAATGGCAGAGCTAGGACGAGGGCCCATCCTTGGCTCTTACCACTAGGTGACACTACCCCTGCTGACCTGCTCAGTGCAATGTGGCGCACAGCTGGGAAATGCAGAGGCAAAGCAGGTGGAATCCTCTCCCTGACAAAGCCCCAGGCCAAATGCTGCCAGGGAGGTGATTGCACAGTCCTGGGCCACGGGGGGAACCGCAGGGCGTAATATGCTCAGCCCCGAGGCTGGGTCTCCCTGAGCATCCTCCTCCTAGCCCGTAAGTGCACATTCCGATCTGCTCTTTGAAACATTCGAGACTCAATTCCCAGTAGATTTCTCCCGGCAGTACGTGGAAAGCAGATGAGCCACTGAAAGTTGGCTGGTTTCTACTTTCCCCCTCCCTGTAGCAAGTGCCTGCTGTCCCAGGTCTGACTTCTGGGGGTGGGGCCAGACTACCAGCCGTCCCTCCGGAGACCTGGACCCTACATGACTGCATCACGCTGAAAGGCAGGAGATCTTAGACCTGAGAGTGAGCAGATCTGAGCTCCTCACTTGGCCACAGATTTCCTCTCCGAGCCGCGTGGGCAGTGAAGGGAAGTGCCAGCGTGCACTCACACCAATCTCAAACCTGCCTTGGGCATAACCCTGGCTGGAGCTCGGCTAGCAGGAATCCCTGTGAAACACACCTGACACACTCAGCTGTGAGGAACTTCCAGGTTGTGTATTTGATTCCAGCCAGGTATTCACTGGGGGTTGTTTGGAAACCTCCATCACCCAGTCAGGGAACAGAAACAGCACCCTGTGACGGCCCATTGCTAGCCAACCCAGGGCAAACGTTGGCGTTCAAATACAGAATCTGCACCCTGCACCCTTTGCACGGGATGCGTAGAGCGGGAAAGTCCCGGCTCATTTAGAACGACGGAGGCCATGGGTCTGCGTCGCGGACAGAAAAAGAAGCAAAGTTCAGTCAATCCGTAATTTGTGGCGCAGTGGCCAGGTGATGGTACCAGGTCACTCCCACACCTTCCCGGGGGGGTGGAAATGCAATGGCACTGCTCTTCCCTTCCTGAACTGTGCTACTGACAGGTTTCCCAGCCTGGGTCCCCCTCTGCTCCTGTGGGAATGGCCAGGGAGGTCGGCTAGTCTCATAAGGGGGTCATAACCCCTGGTCCCTGCGGCTGGCCCATGGCTTTGGATGGGAGGGTGAAGCTGCCAGTCGCTATCACACAGGCTGGGCTCAGAACTTGCCCTTGGCTTTTCCTGCACTCGCTGCCCTTTCCCCAAGGTTTCCTGCAGCCTCCCCTTCAATTTGGGCCCAGGAAAGGGGCTCTGGGAATGGGGGCAGTTGGGGGAGGTAAAACTAAACACCGCCCTTGTTCCCTCCCCAGGAGTCCCGCCCCATCATCTGGCTCCTCGTCCTCCTCCACCATCCTGTCCTGCTGGAGAGGCCTCTGGCTGGCCAAGTTCCTTCCCAAGAGGGACATGTGGATCCCAGCGTGTGAGGAGCCAGAGACAGAGCTGAAGAAGAGGGTGAAGCCCCCAGCACCCCCTAGGGCCATTTACTGTGTCTTCTCCTGAGCCAGGATGGATGGACCAGGGGAGTGCTGAATGCCATCAATACCGGACAATACTTGCTCAGGACCTAGAACCCAGCCGAGCACCACGTCCAGCATCTCCACGGGCAGAGCACTTTGGGGGGTGTTTGCAAACCCAGGAACATGGATCTGTAACATAATCCACCGTTCTGTGTGGGCGTGACCCTGTGTGGGCACGGCTGTGGGTGTGCACATGGGTGTATGTATGTATGGGCACGGCTGTGGGTGTGCACATGGGTGTATGTATGTACGCACCCCTGTGTGGGCACGGCTGTGGGTGGGCACATGGGTGTATGGATGTGTGCACCCCTGTGTGGGCACGCTGTGGGTATGTATGCAATTGTGCATGGCTCTGGGCTCACGTACAAACCCGCCTGTGCACTAGAGTGCAGGTGGAAGGAAGGGCTCACGCCCACCTCCTCCCCACACAGCCTGGATCGTCTGATCCCTGGTTCTTGATCCCACTCCAGGTGTGGGGCAGAGAGGCGAGAGAGGAGGGGAAGAGAGACCCTACCCCCTTTGCATGTGCCGCAGCAGAGCGGGCTCTGGGGGCCGGCATGGGCTGTCCCTGCCCACACCAGCGCATTGTCCCTGTCTCCCGATGTCTCTGTTAATTCCCCTTGTCTAATACAAATGTCCCTTTTTCCCAAGCACTCTACACATCTGCACGTATTCCAGGTCTCCCCATGGCCTAACCCACTGGTGTCCTGGCTTCACACATCCAGCCAAGGGGCTGGGCCGGGTCAGCCTCCAGCGAGGATCAACCCACAGCAGGAGTGTGGGTCGGAGGAGAAGGCAGAGGCATGACTGAGAAGCTCAGGAAGGGGATCCCAGAGCAGAAGGTCTGGAGATGGATGGAGTGAGGGGGGCTGGTGGTAACTGTGTCCTGGGGAGACCCGGCTTCTCCCGCTCCCTTTCCGCACCCCGGCCTGAGTCTAGAACGAGCCAGGTGGCCAGTGCTTGTCTCCCAGGCTGCATGCCCCGTGAGCTGGGAGGGGTCAGTGCCCGCACCTGCTCAAAGGGCAGGGAAGTGGTGGGCGATTACACGGGACAGTTCACCACACCAGGGCCGTGTGCCTGGCAAAGAGCCACTATTTACCAAGGGGTCAGTCGAGCGCAGCGTCCCGCTCTATCAAATGCAGCTAGGGGCCCCAGGCTACACAGCTGAGGTGTCGGCTCGTGCTCTCCTTGGCTTTCTTCGCTCGGCCAGGTCCATCCGGTGTTTAGACCCTGGGCTGTCCCTGGGTACACGCTGTGCTGGAGAAAGCGGCTGTTTGTTGTTTATGGCTCTAATCCCCGCAGGTGGCCAGTGCACAGGGACCTGCCAGCCGACCTGCATTGCAGAAGCAGGGCAGCTGTGCGGCAATCTCACTTCCCAGGCCGGGCGGTCTGCGGAGCCGCCCTGGGGCTGTTGTGCCGCTGCAGGATACTGGGTTCGCCACCACCCCCACCCCCATCTCATGCTGGCCGGGCGCCCGGT